TACGAAGTCACCAAAAATTGAGTTTTTAAAGAAAAAGTAGAAAAATCCTTTTTAAATGACTCCAAGTCTACGAAAATCAGAGAAAAAGATTCGGGAGTCACATTTGAAGAAAGGGAAGGCAAGGATAAGAATCCAAGGCACCCTTTCAACCTATCCAAGGTTAGTTGCGTGATTTAGTCAAAGATTTTCTTATTTTACCCTTAAGATTTATCACATTTGGATGTTCTATATGAATGCAAACCCTAGACCTAGAAGGGTGTCGGGGGGTTGAAATGTATTTTCAAAGCGTACTTGGTACCAATCACATTAATTGTGACGCCCAATAAGGACTTTTCGAAGAAGTCACGAATAATGCAAGTCATGAGACTCGAAAGAAAGAAAAAGTAAAGAAAATAATAATATACAAATGTGTATGACCTAAAGGAATGCATCATAATGGGTGCGGGGGACTTATACTTGTGACTTTCAATGTTCCCTTTAATAGAAGGAATATGAGCGTGCTAAGGCTAGAAAGCCAAACTCGTCCATATCCTATACGCAAGGGGTTTTCCTAGTTTAATCAAGCAAATGTACTACCCTAGGTCTAATGCTTAGATGAAATGCAAGTCTAATGTCATGTTTCATACAAAGGGGTAAGTAATATACATATAAGGAAAAATATGGGGAGGGATATACGTATAAGGAGGGATGTCATGCAAAAAAATGATAAAGATCCTAAAAAGTGAAAGTATGCATGAGATGAAGTGATTTTATCACACAACCATGATCTAACGCTCGAGGGGCTCCTAAGGGTCTAGCGTTGGATTAGCCCACGTCTAGAATTTCCCATTAGCATTGGACTAGTGAGAAAAGTCGGAACAAAGGGCCACAACTAGTGTTGGACTAGTGTGGATTCGAGAAATTGACCACAACTAGCATTGGACTAGTGTGGTGACGTCACACATCGGTTACAATCAAATAAATCATGTAAGACCTAATAAAAGCATGTAAACACATAAATCACATATAGCACATAACACATAAGCATGATATCTAGATGCAAGACCCTAAGAAAGCGGTAACACATAGCACATAGACATGCAAATCACGCAAGGCAAATAAAGCAAATAAAGCCCTAACTATTACATTTAGGGGGGAGCCTACTACAATCTAAGAGGGGGAAACGGAATAAAATAAATAAAATAATAACTTAACTATTACAACTTTGGCATTCAAGTGCCCTCAAATGATCAAAATTGAACTAAAAATAAATATACAAACTAAAGCCAATAAAGCGAATAAATAAATAAATGAAATAAATAAATAAATCAATAAATAATAAAACATTTAAGAGGCATGCAATTAAGCACGTAACATCACATAGGGCACGTAGGGTCAAATAATGTAAAGAATAAGGGGATAGAGTGTACCTCCCTTGAGTTGGGGGTCTAATGAAGTAAAATTACTTATTTGCCCTCCAAAATACAAAGAAAAGGTCAAGGCATCACTTTAATCATAAGAAATGGCAATAAACACTAAATTGAATCACTCAAAGCATTCCAAGGAAAGTAAACTACTCATATTCAACCAATTAAGACAAACAAAGACCCAATTGAAAGATTAAAGAAGTTTAAGAGGTCAATTTATTATTATTATAAATACTAAGGGTCTAAAAGGAAATAAAATACAATTAAGGATCTAAGGTGAAACATACCAAATCAAATGATAAAATTCACAAAAAATAAACAAAAAGCAATTTGCTAGGATTAAACAACAAAAATTCAAAATTTTCACAAAAAAAAAATTCAAGTTAAAGCTATAAATCTAAAAAAAAACTATTAAACCCTCCAAATTCATCCTAAAACTCATGCATATTCTACCCAAAAAATCTCATTAAATCATGGCAAAGAAAGTTAGCATTTAAAATGGATAAGATTGACTAATTTCCAAGGTTTCTGGGTCAAAGTGAAACAAGGGGAGACTTGAGTGGCCAAAGTGCAATCGTCGAAAGTTTTTCCATGCAAACTCATGCAAAGTTACGAAGCTTATGTTTCTGCAACTCAAACCTGCCGCCATTTCATTTCAAATGAGGACTCCAGACAAACTTTGATTCAAAGCTTTTCAACCAAAAATCATAACTTCAAGCCAAGCAACGAAACACATGATTTCCACATACAAACAAGCTAAGACTTAGAAAGATATCATGCAGATTCGGTGCAAACTATGAAGGAAACAAGTCTCTGTGTGACGACCCCACTTCTCCCAAGGGCGAACCCAAGGGTATCGGCGGGCCGCCTACCTAGCTCGCACCAGGACTCAAAACTTAAAGTTCGAAAGAGCACTAAATACAATACATACAATCCCAAAAGAGTTATAATTACATTCTCCAAAAGTATCGAGTCAAACCACCAAAACAAAAACAAACATCCTAACTGTTCAACTATTACAAGCCAAACTAACTATACTAGTATACGAGCCAAAAGTCCCCGCGTCGGCCCCTGCTAAGGAAAACAAAAGGAATGGGGTAAGCTATATGCTTAGTAAGTAAACAGGGGCGAAAGCATAAATTTCACGTAACAGTTACACAATAAGAGTAAAGCAAAAGCAGAAAAGTAACATCACATAATAAGGATACAGGTGGCTCCAAAGCCAAGTCGTTGCCATGCGTGACCTCCTGTTGACACTCCGTCGACCATACATAAGGTCCGTAGAACTCCACTTGTACACCCACCGAACACCTTATCACCCTCACTGGCCAGTCACCTCACAAACTTGCCCAGGCGAACGAAATCACAAACTTGAGCTTGAGTCACAAGCTCGGGTCACAAAATTGGTTCACATACTCAGCGAACCGGGTTCACAAACTTGGTGACCTCAAACCAAGTTGGACTGACTTCGACCAAGCCCTAACCGGCTCGAATAGTCCATCTAGGTATTGAGTTCAACCTCAAACTCACAAAATTCACAAAATTATTCAAAAGTCACCCTGAGCCACCAGCTCAAGGGTTTTAGTTCCAAAATTGCTCATCTACATAAGCCATGTACAAATTTCATGTTTTAAGCCAAGGCCAATTCGGCCTCTATCTAGGCCTAAAATTTTCGGACAGAATGAAGAACCAAGAAACCCCAATTTTCCAGATTTCATTCAAAACAGAAATTACTTGCAATCTTCCACTTTTTCCACCATCTAGCATCATTACATACCATTTCCAACCATCATATATAGCCACACAATCATGCTTATATTAAAACAGAAAAAATCCCAATAAATATAAAACTTCACTAAATCATCCACAAATCAAGATATAAGCCATAATTTTTCATCTCTTAACACCACTAAGCATGAATTAAGCTTCATTAGGTCAAGGAGAGAGTTCATTCATTACTCACCTAGTAAAACAAGAGAGAGGGAGTTGCTTGTCACCTTAGCTTCCACAAACACTTCACCAATCAACTTACTAATACCAAATGAAGAGGTTTTATGGAAGGAATTCAAGATTAACCGGTTAGTTTATGAGATTGAGCAAGATTAGGACAAGGGATTGAGAGAGATTTTTCTTTCTTCCTTTGGAAGAGAGAGAAAAGAATGAGGAAGATTAAGCTTCATTTGTCTTATAAGAAGGTTGGAAAAAATAAGAATTAATTCTAGCCACAAGTTTGGTTAACACTTGGTTGAATCACAACCACACAATTTTCTCTCTCTTGTTGCATTTTGAACCACTAATTTTCGGCCAATAAGAAGCTAAGAGGGGGAAGATATTTTGTTCTATTAGTGAGAAACTTGTATAGCAAGTAAGTGGTGGTCAAATGGTGCGTTCAATCGGTAATGCGCGGGACCCGCCGGTTCGCGCCGTTTTTTCTTAAAACACACGTACTAGGGTTTTTACTTCCTATTCACTAACCTTATCTTATTGCTCCTAATCACATATTATTTCTCACTTAAAAGTCACTTTTAATCACCAAATTTGATCTTTTTTCCGTACCAAAATTTCATCCGGCGAAAATTGTAAAAACCCTAATTTTGCTCCAAACCTGAAACCGAAGAGTGAAACCCTACTTTCTAGGCTCACTTGCACTTATTATGGAATAACTGGATAGTAGGGTTTTAAATCTTAATCCCTACATAGGGTTTTCGAAATACTCCCAAAACCAAACGTTACCGCCCAATTAATGAATATATCAACGTAGAACGAACTGGGGCCTCACAATCTCCCCCACTTAGGACAATTTCATCCTCAAAATTGCAATCAACGAGCTAAGGGTTGAAAAACTCGAAATAATCAAAAGATCAAAAAGTGTACATATATATACAAGTCACGCCAAAATGTACGCAATATAATGCACCATATACACCAAGAGACATTTCAAGTTAGACAAAGCCAAGTGCAGCAAGTACTATAGATGCAGGTATTAACATACCACAAGTAAATGACATGTAGGGACAATACAAGGGCAAATGAAAGGGCAAATGAAAGAAACGCGACTTGTCGTCCCACACTCAGTGAAAACCACCCTCGTCCGGTTTCTTACTCCACTTTCCAAAGTGCCCGTTGATCTCTTGTACTCACTCTAGCCAGACAAAGCTTGTTCATGTTCCCAAAATGCAAATCTCAAGTACTTAGCAGCGCCTCAACTCTGGAGTACTCAGGCACAAGAATCCGAAATAAGATAATTCACATCTCAAGCTGCAGTCCCAAGAGTAAACTATCTACAATCGAAATTCCTACCTGACGAACCTACCTATGGTCCTCAGATACCATGAGAAAGATTTAAGGCCTATAACATTTATGATCCATAACTTATGCTTGACCGAGCATCTAGTCCTTCATACTTATTCACCACTTGCCTAACCGATGGCACCCCAAGTCTATTTAACCGGCACTCTCCCCGGGCCACCGAGGGGAGAGCGTGCTCAGTAAAGTAAACTCTAACCAGCTCTTGCGGATGAGAGACCCCCACATTGGATAAAATATCAGCAACCTTATTCGCCTCTCTGTAACAATGCTCAAACCGAACCCCCTCTACCAGGTGCCAGACTTGTTCCACCTCTCTTCTGACAGACCAAGGACATAGGCATCGCTGCTGGAGTATGTCATTAATACCATTGAATCCGATTGCACTATCCTGGGGATAAATCCCTTTCCAAGACACAACTGAACACCCTTCAACATGGCCAACACTTCAGCACGAAGACTAGTAGCCTCCCCCAGGTACGCCGAGAAAGCAACCAATAACTGCCCATCGGAGTCTCTAAGAATGCCACCTCCACCACTTGCTCCCGGTTTCCCTTAGAGCAACCATCCGTATTGAGCAGCAAATCTGCTTGACCCCCTGCCCTCCACCGAACAATCCTGAACTCATACAGATCAGTCGATTGAGCTATCCTCTCGTAGAACAGCGAGAAATCGCTCACTTGGGCGGCCAGGCTAAACTGAATCTCAAATGCCGATTTGACATCTTGGAAGACCGCTTCACATATCTCCTTTACACGAACTCTAGCCCCCTCAAAAACCGCTCTACACCTCGCCTTCCAAATGTTCCAGCAGATAAAAACTGGAACAATGTCATATACGAATCTCTGCCTGCCCCTTGGAGTAGGGGACATCCACCAATCAAACAAATGTGCTCGGAGGCTATCGTGCGAACTGCCAATACCACATATGTTCTGAAAATACGCCCAAACCTCCAATGCAAGCTGCCCTGCAGAAAACACATGCTCCAGTGTCTCTCCTGTGACAAACGTACAGCAGAAGCACTTTGACGCCAACTGGAACCCCAGCTCCCCTAAAACGTCATCCAAAGGCAGTCGCCTCATGAGCAAACGCAACATGAACAAGGACACTCTCAAAGGTATTCTAGCATGCCATATGCGAGAGAACACCAGTGACCTGTTGCGACCTTGGTGGACCTCCTAAAAGGCTGATGCCAAAGTGAAGAGCCCTGACTGCGTCGACCTCCAAATCACTTGGTCTGACCCCCTTCCACTCAGTGCCGGTGAATGCATCACCTCATCCACAATGGTTGGCGGCAGAATCTGTGACAACCGACAATTATCCCAGGTGCCATTGACCATAACATCAGAAAACGAAAGGCCCGGAACCACCGAAGCCCTAAGAAAAAGAGGCCCACTCCCCAACCAATTATCATTCCAAAAATCACAAGTCCCATCATTAAGCAACCATACCATGCACAATTTCGCTTGGTGACTCACATTGACCATGCGCCTCCAAGTTGGTGAGGCAGCCTGAGAACTAACCACTTGACAAGGGTGGATTCCTTTACAATACTTTGCCCGTATGAAGGTTGCCCACAGAGATGACTCTTGTGCGCAAACCCCACCAAAGCTTACAAGAAAAGGCATTATATACATCGCGAACCCGCCGGAAGCCAGCGCCACCTTCCTTCACCGGATAACAAAGTTGAGACCACCGAATCCAGTGATGATCATAACAGGGGCTACGGAACTCGGATTTCGACGTACTTTATACCGTTTCGAAGCTGAGACCAAGATCTAAATTTCTTATGAAGGATTCGACACCCAGATCGTACGGGATCAAAACGGAAAAATGCACGGCAGAAACTGAAATTCAAAACGTACACAAACGGACGTCTAAAACAGGTCTGAGGGTTTTGTCTATAACTCAGAATACATTAATCCGTTTGACCTGCAATTTTACAGGTAGATTCAGCACTTAAAAGGCTACAACGTTGAAGAAGGCCACTTAACCCAGTTTCGAGTATAACTAGGTCAAAACTGTAAGATACTAAACCCGAATCGTAAAACAGGTGAACAAACTGCAACTTGGTACAAACAGCATAACTCAGCCTACTTAAGTCCAAATTCAGAAATTCCAAAGGCATACGAAAGCTTAGAAACAGGGATACATTTCATCAGAAGACTGGAACGACCAATTCTGAAGCAATCCTATCCAAAATCACCAATTACAAGTGCAGTTCTTACATTCGGACAAAACCAGAACAGCAAGGGTATTTTCGACATTTCTCATGCTACGCTACTCCGATTGACCTGAAATTTTACAGGCACCTATAAAATGTCATTCCCTACAACTTTCATGTTTTAAGCCAAGGCCAAATTCGCGCCTCTATCAGGCCTAAAATTTTTAGGACAGAATGAAAGAAACCAACAAACCCCAATTTTCCCAGATCATTGAAAACAGAAATTACTTGCAATCTTCCACTTTTTTCCACCAATCCTAGCATCATTACATACCAGTTTCTCAACCATCATTAATATAGCCACACAATCAATGCTTATATTAAAAACAGAAAAAATCCGCAATAAATATATAAACTTCACTAAATCATCCACAAATCAAAGATATATAGCCATTAATTTTTCATTCTCTTAACACCACTAAGCATGAATTAAGCTTCATTAGGTCAAGGAGAGAGTTCATTCATTACTCACTTAGTAATAAACAAGAGAGAGGGAGTTGCTTGTCACCTTAGCTTCACAAACAACTCACGCAATCAACTTACTAATACCCAAATGAAGAAGTTTTTATGGAAGGAATTCAAGATTAACCGGTTAGTTTATGAGATTGAGCAACGATTAGGACAAGGATTGAGAGAATTCTTTCTTTACTTCCTTTGGAGAAGAATTTCGGCCAAGAGAGAGAAAAGAATGAGGAAGATTAAGCTTCATTTGTCTTATAAGAAGGTTGGAAAAAATAAGAATTAATTCTAGCCACGAGTTTGGTTAACACTTGGTTGAATCACAACCACACAATTTTCTCTCTCTTGTTGCATTTTGAACCACTAATTTTCGGCCAATAAGAAGCTAAGAGGGGGAAGATATTTTGTTCTATTAGTGAGAAACTTGTATAGCAAGTAAGTGGTGGTCAAATGGTGCGTTCAATCGGTAATGCGCGGGACCCGCCGGTTCGCGCCGTTTTTTCTTAAAACACACGTACTAGGGTTTTTACTTCCTATTCACTAACCTTATCTTATTGCTCCTAATCACATATTATTTCTCACTTAAAAGTCACCTTTAATCACCAAATTTGATCTTTTTTCCGTACCAAAATTTCATCCGGCGAAAATTGCAAAAACCCTAATTTTGCTCCAAACCTGAAACCGAAGAGTGAAACCCTACTTTCTAGGCTCACTTGCACTTATTATGGAATAACTGGATAGTAGGGTTTTAAATCTTAATCCCTACATAGGGTTTTCGAAATACTCCCAAAACCAAACGTTACCGCCCAATTAATGAATATATCAACGTAGAACGAACTGGGGCCTCACAATCTCCCCCACTTAGGACAATTTCGTCCTCGAAATTGCAATCAACGAGCTAAGGGTTGAAAAACTCGAAATAATCAAAAGATCAAAAGGTGTACATATATATACAAGTCACGCCAAATTGTACGCAATATAATGCACCATATACACCAAGAGACATTTCAAGTTAGACAGAGCCAAGTGTCAGCAAGTACTATAATGGCAGGTATTAGACAATACCACAAGTATGACATGTAGGGACAATACAAGGGCAAATGAAAGAAACGCGACTTGTCGTCCCACACTCAGTGAAAACCACCCTCGTCCGGTTTCTTACTCCACTTCCCAAAGTGCCCGTTGATCTGTTGTACTCACTCTAGCCAGACAAAGCTTGTTCATGTTCCCAAAATGCAAATCTCAAGTACTTAGCAGCGCCTCAACTCTGGAGTACTCAGGCACAAGAATCCGAAATAAGATAATTCACATCTCACGCTGCAGTCCCAAGAGTAAACTATCTACAATCGAAATTCCTACCTGACGAACCTACCTATGGTCCTCAGATACCATGAGAAAGATTTAAGGCCTATAACATTTATGATCCATAACTTATGCTTGACCGAGCATCTAGTCCTTCATACTTATTCACCACTTCATCCAGGCTCACCCCGCGCAGAGACCACGCGAAGCAGCTATAGGTTTTATCCCTCAATTGCTTAACTTTCAAATAAAAATCAAATCCCACAGTCCGGCATCCTAAACTTTTAGCCTAGGATACACTACAGAGATCTGAAACCTAAGCTCTGATACCAACTGTGACGACCCCACTTCTCCCAAGGGCGAACCGAAGGGTATCGGCGGGCCGCCTGCCTAGCTCGCGCCAGGACTCAAAACTTAAAGTTCGAAAGAGCACTAAATACAATACATACAATCCCAAAAGAGTTATAATTACATTCTCCAAAAGTATCGAGTCAAACCACCAAAACAAAAACAAACATCCTAACTGTTCAACTATTACAAGCCAAACTAACTATACTAGTATACGAGCCAAAAGTCCCCGCGTCGGCCCCTGCTAAGGAAAACAAAAGGAATGGGGTAAGCTATATGCTTAGTAAGTAAACAGGGGCGAAAGCGTAAATGTCACGTAACCACAGTTACTCAATAAGAGTAAAGCAAAAGCAGAAAAGTAACATCACATAATAAGGATACAGGTGGCTCCAAAGCCAAGTCGTTGCCATGCGTGACCTCCTGTCGACACTCCGTCGACCATACATAAGGTCCGTAGAACTCCACTTGTACACCCACCGAACACCTTATCACCCTCACTGGCCAGTCACCTCACAAACTTGCCCAGGCGAACGAAATCACAAACTTGACCTTGAGTCACAAGCTCGGGTCACAAAATTGGTTCACATACTCAGCGAACCGGGTTCACAAACTTGGTGACCTCAAACCAAGTTGGACTGACTTCGACCAAGCCCTAACCGGCTCGAATAGTCCATCTAGGTATTGAGTTCAACCTCAAACTCACAAAATTCACAAAATTATTCAAAAGTCACCCTGAGCCACCAGCTCAAGGGTTTTAGTTCCAAAATTGCTCATATACATAAGCCATGTACAAATATGTGTGCAAATTAGGGTTTAGAGCGAGTGCGATAAAGTACACCCTCGTCTAAGTACCCTCTTCATACATATCGAAACACATAAGCAACTAACATACAAAAGCGGCTTGAATACTTACTCAAAAGACAAAAGTAGTACAAAAGCGGAAATCACTTCGTTTGTTGGCTAGTAGTGGGCCCCACCGGCTCCACCTAGTTCACCACCGTCTGAAATCGAAGATTGTGTCACAATATATCACAAACGGCTACTAACATACGTAAAACAAGCAAAACGGCAAAATTGGCACGCGCAAGTGCGAAAACGGCAAAAAGGGGCACGCGCGCGCGCGGAACGGCAAACGGGACGGCCAAATCTGCCATCTCAAACCGTTTTGGTCGAAAGTTAGGCTAGGGGTATCGGATCAAGGTGACCAAGACACCGTTTCGAAGCTATGAGAAAGGGCTACAATTTTTGTGAAGACACCTTAACCTAGATCTGAATAGGTATAGGTCAAAAAGGCACGAAATAGTGCCAGCCGTTTCATGGCGGGTTACCAAACAGGCCCTGTTTACAAGGCCGTAACTCACGGCTCAAAAATCGAAATCAATAAATTCCAGAGGCGTTAGAAATCTGAGACATAAGGCTAAAACTTTGATGTTTTGCCTAAGACCTGAATCCATTCAGAACAGAACGAAATCGAGTGTCAAAATACCCGTCAGAACTGTCCAAATACAAGGCAGTTCTGACGATCGATATTGTTTTGATCATAACAGGGGCTACGGAACTCGGATTTCGACGTACTTTATACCGTTTCGAAGTTGAGACCAAGATATAAATTTCTTATGAAGGATTCGACACCCAGATCGTACGGGATCAAAACGGAAAAATGCACGGCAGAAACTGAAATTCAAAACGTACACAAACGGACGTCTAAAACAGGTCTGAGGGTTTTGTCTATAACTCAGAATACATTAATCCGTTTGACCTGCAATTTTACAGGTAGATTCAGCACTTAAAAGGCTACAACGTTGAAGAAGGCCACTTAACCCAGTTTCAAGTATAACTAGGTCAAAACTGTAAGATACTAAACCAGAATCTTAAAACAGGTGAACAAACCGCAACTTGGTACAAACAGCATAACTCAGCCTACTTAAGTCCAAATTCAGAAATTCCAAAGGCATACGAAAGCTTAGAAACAGGGATACATTTCATCAGAAGACTAGAACGACCAATTCTGAAGCAATCCTATCCAAAATCACCAATTACAAGTGCAGTTCTTACATTCGGACAAAACCAGAACAGCAAGGGTATTTTCGACTTTTCTCACTCTACGCTACTCCGATTGACCTGAAATTTTACAGGCACCTATAAAATGTCATTCCCTACAACTTTCATGTTTTAAGCCAAGGCCAATTCGGCCTCTATCTAGGCCTAAAATTTTCGGACAGAATGAAGAACCAACAAACCCCAATTTTCCAGATTTCATTGAAAACAGAAATTACTTGCAATCTTCCACTTTTTCCACCATCT